CCTCCCTCCCTCCCTCCCTCCCTCCCTCTCGCTCTCTCTCTCTGTGTAGATACACACACACACACACACACACACACTTCCTAAATTCTGCAAAATCATTCTAAGCCAGCTACAGTGAGCTGAACAAATTCAGAAAGGTCTTACATGGCAGAGTAGAGCAAGGCTAATACACCTTAACACTCTCTTCCCTCCACAGTGTATGGCCAGTCTACCAGCCTGGCAGGTGATGTTCCCCAGCTCATTTCTTTCCCTCCCTCCCCTTATCCTAAACATGTTATCAGCAATATTTTTTGGCTTCAGTTATGGAATTTTCAGTCAGATGCAGACCATCTTTCTCTCTTGCCTTTTCTTTTTCTTATTCCAAGAACCTTGGTGATTGCTATGGGGAGGTATGGAAAGGAAGGCACTGAGAAAATCAAGAGGATGGATTTTAAATGTTGCAGATAAAGCCAAGGACACCAACAATGGTTATGACTGAGTTCCAGCACCACATATCCAACAGAACTGCCTGCTGTCCCCATATCTTTTTAATGCTTTCTCTTTCTAACCTCTCCTTAACTGTGATCTATCACCAATCTGCCTGGCTTATTTCTGATCCTTCCCCAAATTGTTTGGCTTGAAATATAAATTTTCAGTCCGGACACAGATCACTGCAAAATAATTGTTCCGTGCATAGAAGGTTTCATGAATCTGTAGAGATTTGTAGTCATCCAGGTCATGGTTGTCTCAAAGGTGCTTTTTCAGGAGGCAGTTGGACTTTCTTGTTGCATCCCGAAAAAGGACTTTTGGGAGACTTCATGAGGAAATATTTTTCACATCAATAAGGTAAAGTTTTAAAATTAGAATTTATGATTCCTGACAGGACTAAATCTACAAGTGTTTGTATTTCTGGATGTTAATGAGTTCTTTTGCTACTAAAGATTTACTAATCTTTATTTTCTTTCTCTCTTCAGGATTTAGAAACTTGCCTCTTGAGGACCAAATTACTTTAATACAGTATTCTTGGATGTGTTTATCATCATTTGCCTTGAGCTGGAGATCATACAGACATACAAATAGCCAGTTTCTTTATTTTGCTCCTGACTTGGTCTTTAATGAGTAAGTTATCCAATAAATGCTTGTTTTTCCAAGGAAGTTTATAAAATAAAGCTCTGTTACAATGTGATACATATAGAATGCAAAGCTGTGAAGGAATACAAATACTGGAAAATGAGCATATGGAAACATCTTTCTCACATGTGTTTTTCTTGCCCTTATCTTTAATTTGCATCTGTCATTGTACGTACTTCCAAAGCTTCAACATTTAATTGGCTTTGACAGATAACTAATACATAACTTAAAGAAAAGGAGTATTCATTGTATCTATTTACTTTTACACAATTTGAGAATATTTGCATTATTTTTCTAAAAGTTTATTGAGAGATATTGTTCTTGTTAGGAGTACACAGCAGCTCGGTTTATAATTTAAAGTCATTACAATTATAATTACTAATTTTGGAATAATTGGAAGAAGCCTTTTTTATATCATACAGCAATAATTGTAAGTGCCATTTATTTCATTGCTGCGGGCTCCTTCCTTTTCGAACTAAAAATATAAAATCTTGGCTATATTAGCCATGCTTGTACCATAAAAACAAGGATTCAAATCAAAAACACTGCTGAAGCTCATGTGAAGGAAGTGAGCTACTTTGATGAAATTATTATTCTGCTTTTTAAGGGAACAGCAGCAACAGATATCACATTGCAAATTACTCTCAAAATTGTTTTAGGTTATTAAACTACCTTTTGTGACCTAAGAGTGGAGAAAAAAAACAGAGTTACTTTCAGAATATGTTTAATAGTTCCTCAGATGCTGTTTATGAAAACTAAAAACCCTCAATCATACTTGTAAGAGTTGCTTGGTGCAATCAAATTAATCTGACGCTGGAGATCTATTATATATTAATTGCACTGGATTGAGATGAATTTTGTGTAAATGAAATTTTACATTATGTTAAAATACATGGCTATTTTTTCCTTCTACTTACCTAAAGCCTGATATAGATGAACCTCCAATGGTTGTGCCTGTTAAGTTGTTAATAAAGTATTTAGATAATTAGAAGATTATTGGAGCTAGGAATGAAGTCTCAGTACCAGAAGTTCAGAATGTTTCTTTGTTGCACTATTTTTATAAAAGTAACAGGGCAACATATTATCTAGATCAGCCTTTCTCAACTGAGTTTCTATAGAAATTTACAGTTCCCTGAGACATTGCTAGATGTTCTGCAAACTATCAAGATCGCAAAAAAAGATCATTTTTGAACTTTGTGTGCTACATATTGCTAGCACTTGGATAGTGGGAATAATTTAACATGCTGTTGCTTACCTGTCAGACTATTGCTTTGGGGACTATTGTAGGTTGGGACTAAATTGTATTGTAAAGTTTTCATATTTTATGCACGGGTCCCCTGAGACTTGATTCTAAATCTTCCAAGTGGTCCCCAAACTTTTCACCTCATTGACCTCTTCATGAATTTTCAGATTTTCATTTATCCTCAAACAGTTATTATATGAAAATAATTTGATAAATACTATTTTAATGAATACCATTACAAATAACAACAAATGGATAGTCCCATTGATCCTTTGCGGGGAGGGGGTTGAATAGAATAGAATAGAATTCTTTATTGGCCAAGTGTGATTGACACACAAGGAATTTGTCTTTGGTGCATATGCTCTCAGTATACATAAGGAGAATAAAATATATTTATCAAGAATAAAAAGATACAACACTTAGTGATAGTCAAGGTTACTAATAAGCTATCAAATCATACTAGTAAATAAATAAAACAATATAAATTGAAAGATACAAGCAACATGGTATAGTCATAAGTGAGGAAAGATAGATACTAGGAAGGAAGAGAATAATAATAGCAATACAGTCTTAGTAAATTGTTTGACAGTGTTGTGGGAATTAGTGGTTAAGCAGAGTGATGGCATTCGGGGAAAAACTGTCCTTGGGTCTAGTTGTTCTGGTATGTAGTGCCCTATAGCGTCATTTTGATGGTAGAAGTTGAAACAATTTATATCCAGGATCTGAGGGCTCTGTAGATATTTTCACAGCCCTCTTTTTGATATTGGCTACTTTGGCGAACTATGTTTGAAAAGTTAAAAATTGGAAAAGGGCTAATTTAAATAGTTTAATCTAGTCTAGTCAATTGTCTGAAAGGTGCTTTTTTCCCCAAAGGCAATTGGACTTGATTTTATTTGAGGAAAAAGAAGAAGATGTTTACAATGGCTGATGGCCGTTGGATAAGAAGTGAAACGCCTTCTTTTTCCTTACATAAAAAACAATCAAGTTATCTTTTTTGGTGGGGGGGGGAGCACTTCTGAGTCAATTATGATCTGGATGACTGAGAATCTCCATAAATCTAATCAATTATTTTCAGTAGCTGTATGCAGTGTAACAAAATTAAATTTTGTTTTTCAATTGTTTCAGGCTATAAGTCATAGAAAAATGAATTTAGATTCCAGGAAAGCAAATGCCAACTAAATGTTAGGAAAACCAAGACTCATTTTCTATATCTGGCATAACATGATCTTTAGAAGTACAAAAGAACTTGTTATTTAATTTCTGTTTTCAGTTAAATACTAAAATAATAAATAAATAATATAATTCCATAATAAATCTTGGAATTTTTTTCTTTGATTAAACTTGTTTGAATTTGTACTGAAAATTATAAAAAGCGGCTTAAAAACTATCTAGAGGACTAGTGGCATTTTTGAAGTGCTTACATGTTCAAAACTTGCTAGCTGCTATTTGTTAAATGATTACAATATTGGATTATGAGTGAGAAAACAAATTCACAGCTTATATAAATATATAAATAATACATTTAAATGTGTAGCTGAAACTATGTTTAAAGGTAAATGTTGAAAATTTTAACGTTCTAGATATTATGAAGTTTAATTGGAGTATTTATAACAATTGTCCGTATTGTCTGGGGTTATTGGATTTGTATTCAAGGTTGTTTTGAATTATATAATTTGGAATATAACAGCTGTTGGAATTATCTAAACCAACAACCATCTCAAAAAAGAAAAGTCCCCCATTCCACAAGATAGACTATTACATTGTTAAACAACTTGTACCCTTAGGAATTTTTTTCCTGGTGTGCATCTGAAATATGTTGTTCTGTAATTTAAAGTCACTCTTTTTCTCATATTTTGTAGAACAACTTTCTTCTGGATGCTTCAGTTATAGCCCTTTAGATTTTTTTTCCTCCAGACTAAAAATGCTCTTTATCAACTTTATTGTTCCTCTGAATATATTCCATCTCATCAATGTCTTTTTTTAAACGAGATGTCCGGAACCAATACTGGAAGTCTTTAAGAAGATGTTGGATATCCATTTGTCTGAAATGATATAGGGTTTCCTGCCTAGGCAGGGGGTTGGACTAGAAGACCTCCAAGGTCCCTTCCAACTCTGCTATTGTATTGTATTGTATTGTATTGTATTGTATTATTGTAACTCAGTACAATATACGGTAGCATATCTTGATTTTGACCTCTTTTTGTCTGTGGATTCAACTTAGAATTACAGTTGCTTTTTTACCATTGACTTTACACTGAACAAAAAGCCATTTTGATCATTTTTTTGCCTGTATGGTCCCCTGTTCTGCATTCATGCTTCTGCTTTTTCCTATCCAAATATTAGACATCACATTTGCCCTTACCAAATTTAATAGTGACTGATTACTGCCTGTTTTTCCTACCCTTCAAGGTTTTAGCAGCAACACGATACTGCCTTCTATGATATTTTCCATTGCCCCTCTCTTTGTGTCATCTGTAAATATGATAATAATATTTCCAAACCCTCATTCATGTCATTGATAAATATGTTGAACAACATAAGACCTAGAACAGAACCTAACAGCTTACCATTCCTTCCAGCTTAACCTATAATTTGAACAATACTTTATATGCTTATTCAAACACTTTTGAATCAATTTAAAGTAGCTAAAACAGGCCCCTCTTCCCTAGTACAAGTGGCAGACTTTTCCAAGGTTTATTGATATTTATTGTGTGTGTGTGTGTGTGTGTGTGTGTGTGTGTGTTGTGTTTGTGCTGATAAATAAATAAAAATAAATATTTATCAGCACAAATACAACACAAATGTAACAAAGGCAACAGTAAAAATATTGGGTTTCTGTCTGGATGGTCTCTTGTGATGAGCCGATAGACAGAGAAAAGAAGCAGTAAGCTTCCTCCCATATTTGGGCATACCAGGGGTTGTGACACTATATATATTTGTACATTTTTTTTCTCTATCCTGAATTATATATATTTTAATTGTTAACTCTTTTACATTTTTATTGTACACCACCCAGAGTCACTTTTTCATGAGATGGCCAGTCATATATATATATATATATATATATATAGAAAAAAATACTACATCCACTCTATTTCCCAGGCAATTGCTGAGAGAGAGGGGGGTGAGGAAGAGGGAGAGGGAGGGAGAGAGAGAGAGAGAGAGAGAGAGAGAGAGAGAGAGAGATCAGGATCGTTTGGCATCATTCTTTCCTGGCACCTGCCAAGAAATGCATTCCTTTCTAAATTCTCACCAACCAATTGTTTAATGATTTGTTTCTGATTTTTTCTCAGTTTCCTTGTCAAGCTAACCTGGTTTATATTGTTTCTTTTTTCTTTTTAAGAGTACAACAGCAGTTACCTATCTCTGCCATGTCACCTGCCATGATTTCTTAAAATTTACAGGAAGGGACTCTAGTTACATCTACAAGTTCCGTTTTTGATATAATTGCTCTTGTTATGAAGATTTGAATTCATTCATCACAGCTATATTTCCTAAAGCTAATTTAATTTACTCTTGATTTTTCATTCCCTCTGTTCTGTTAGTGGTTCTGAGCAGTTATATTTGAATTCATTGGGGGTGGGCAGGGAAAACTAAAGCAAATTAGGAACTGAAGATCTCTACTTGCTTGCTGCCTATCTATTTACTACCCTACCATTTTCTCTTATGAGTAGGCCTCTTCCTTCCTTCCTTTTTCTTTCTTTTACTATTGTCATAGTTGAAAAAGCCACTTTTATTGCTTTTA